GGTAACTTATAGCAAACTTTTTATTTTGAATATATATCTATTCAAAAATAAAATAAAAATTTTTGAAAAATTATCAAAATTGGCTTTTTTAATATGTAACACCCCGTATTAAATGAGTGCGCTAACTAAAAAAAAAGTTTAAATATGATTAAGTGTTTGTCAACTGGTTTGAAAAAAAAATGTAAATAAGAGGTCAAGATTTTATTAATATTTGCCAACAATGTCTTTATAATAAAGTTCAAAGTAAAGTGTTTAGTACTGTATAATGATACCTGATGAAACTATTTTCATGATGACAAAATGGTTTTGCTATGGTTTTGTCTGACAAAACTTCTGACGATTGATGAAACCCCTAACAATTGACGAAACCCCTGATAATTGATGAAACCCTTAACAATTGACGAAACCCTTGACGAAACTCTTGACAATTGAAGAAGCTTTGACGATTGATGAAGATTGGCAATTTTTTCAATAGTGTTATTTAATTATGAATTTTTATATGAAAAATTACTAATTTTTATAATTGATGTTTAATAAAACCTGTTATTATGAAACTATAATATTTACAAAATTATTGTTATAAAAACAAAGTTATGCTAATACATTTTAGGTTAAAACAAGTTACATGTTTTTTTTTTTTTTGAATTTACTAGCATGATCACTAGTGTGCATATTGCACTTTATTAAGTACTTCATTTATCATATACATATAAATACTTCTCAGCCTTCTGACTATGAGGGTATTCTAATTTTTGTAATACTCTTCCCATTTAAGGTCTTACAGGCTAGTGCGTATATTATATCTATATATAAAATGTTTTTTTTTTTTTTTTAGTTCATTGATACTTCAGAATTTCACTGGAGCGAGTCCTTCTTTAACCAGAATTTTACTGGAGGTATTCCTTATCTGAGGTTTCAGGTGCCTCAGAATTTCACCAGAACAGTTCTTGTATTACATATGCGTACCTTGTTTGAGTAGTTGATTACAATTTTTTTGTTCTCCAGTAGGACTCAAAATGACAACCTTGCAATTAGTAATCTAGGAGTACAATTATTATGCTACTGATCCACGAGTCTTAAGTTATATATTTGTATATTACTAGTAATAAAATTTAAATCTAAATTAAGTTCAGCTAAGCTGCATTTACCTACCTACTCACTTAGTGACTAGCCCATATTACTAATTTTATTATGTTTTTTTGTGACAAATTTTTCGAAGTGCTATAAGTAAAGATTCTAAATTCTCATTATCATTTTCTATAGCACATAAACTTTCAAATTTACAGATTAAGGAGTTTAAAAATTATTACATACAAATTTTTAATAAAAGATAGAAAGATTTTAATGCTGATAATTACTTGCTTATATATTTTTTGCATTCTGGTTATCATGGTATGTTGTATTTTAAAAAATTTTTAATTAAATATATATTAATTAATGCAGTCTTCACTAGGTGTTGGATTATGTAAACAACAATTTTAATCAATTGTAAAAACTGCAATCGAAATATGGCAACAAGAAAGATACAACCAATATGAATGTGCAAGTCTTGTAACCTATATAAGATTATTTCATGAAAAAAAAGGATTCGACTTATCTTATTGTTTTGAAACTGATATTTCTTTAATATAGTGAATAACAAATTATACTGGTTCCAAATCTATAGATCAACTCACTATTAAGCTCTTTTCAATAACACCTCATTCTGCTAATTGTGAAAGTCCTTCTTATTATTAGGTTAGTTATATGGAAAACTATAGCAATGATTTTCTTTATTCCAAATTCAGGCTATAACACAAGTTCGATCTTTCTATATTTTAAATATAAAAAAAGAACTTGTTTTTTTTGATAAAAAATTATTATTTGGTAATTTACAAGAACAAGTAATGTTAGCAACTTTTTTAGTTAAGGATGAAGATATTACTAAAGATTCTGAAATAAAAGAGATCGAATATGATAATTTAGAGATTGTTGAACAGTTTGATATTGAAAATATAGTATGCTTAAGCAATGAAATAGTTCAAGATAGAGCATCTGATACTAATATTGAAGAACTACAAAATGTTGATGATGAATTTGATAATAATGATGAGTCAGTAGTTAGCAATAAAATAGGACAAGAAGTATTCTATTTTG